TATTTATACATATATATATATATATATATACATATATATATATATATATGTATACATATATATATATATATATGTATATATATATATATATACCCTTTAAAAGAGGGAGTTGTAGAAAAACTTTCCCCACCCCAAATTACCCTTCAACCAATTTAAATTATATATATATATATACCCTTTAAAAGAGGGAGTTGTAGAAAAACTTTCCCCACCCCAAATTACCCTTCAACCAATTTAAATATATCAAAGATATCCCTTATAATCGTTATACAGATTTCATTATCATCAGAAACCAAAAACCCAACTTACCATCGGTTACGCCTTTCCTCCGGCAACCGGTTATGCTTCTTCTCAGCCAACGCCATCCTACGATCTTAAGTCATCATCAATTTGCCAAAGATGAGTGGAATCGGTTAGGATCACGAAGGTTTCTCCTTCTTCTTCACTCTACTACACAAAACCCTAGCTCTACCTTGAAGGTTCTCTCTTAATTCAACCCCAAACATTAGGGTTATTAATAATGGGGGCAACAGGCTCAGGAAAGTCTCACTTCTCTATCGACCTGGCTTCTCACTTTGCCGGCATCAAGGTCATCAATGCCGATTCGATGCAAGTCTACCAAGGCCTCGACGTCCTCACTAACAAAGTTCCTTTTTTTGGAGCGCGACAATATATATTTCCCTTTATCTTCTTCTCTTGTCTGGCTACGAATTCACCGTGACTTCTCTAAAATGTGACTTTAGGAGTTCCTCACCATCTTCTCAGGACCGTTGACACGTCGGTCGAGTTCACTTGTAGAGATTTTCGTGATCTCGTCGTTCCAGTAAAAACCTCGACTCGATTGATTATGCACCTTTTTTTCAAATTTAAGTTTTGGTTGAATATTTTGACACTTGCTTGGTAATTTTGTTAGATTATTGATGACATATTGTCCCGCGATGGTCTTCCGGTTATTGTTGGGGGTACAGATTACTACATCTAGGTTCATTATTCGTTATATACAGCATGCTATTTACTATAGTTCTTTCTTTTGAAAAGCTTAATGTCAACTTAATTTTTTGGTAGGCTCTTGTGAGCTCGTTCCTTGTAGATGATGCGGTGCAAGATATGGAAGAAGACACCATTGTTAGCGAACAAGGTTAGATAGGAGAAAATAAACTGATTTAATAGTTTAATGGTGTTAGCTTACGTTCTTTTACTTCGTAGTTTCTGGAAGTTTCTGTTTCTTACAGAATTAAGCAATGTAGATCTGGCTGCTAGCTATGAGCATCTTACAGAGATTGATCCAGTTGCTGCAAACAAGATTCACCCAAATGACCATAGAAAGGTAAGGCTTTACCTATCATAAAGGTTTGAACTGTTTTATATTTTTCTCCGATTTTAATGAACTTTTTATTCCAGATTATTTTAGTCGGAGCTTCTTCAAATAGTTAAAAATGTATTCTTTCCACATAAGTTTGGGTATATATGGATTTGAGCATTTTTCCTAAAACATTAAATCACTGAAAATTTACATATTTTGCAGCACAAAAGCGTAAGCTTTAATTTGATTAGTCTTCTTTTACGCCTATTTTCTAATAAAGTTGAGTTCTTTCTCATATTCACTACAGGTGAGTAGGTCGTAGCGTGGATAGCTGTTTGTTTTTATTGATACCTAAGCCCTCTTTCCACAATTAAAATCATGGCGTCTTCAAGCGACGAGGAGGTGCAGGACCCACAATCTGTGACGAGCATTTACTATGTAGATGATGCAGAGAACAATGTTGATGATTTGGAGAATGATGCTGATCCACTTTGTGCCATTTGTGACGATGGCGGTCGAATTGTGCGGTATGCTCTGTTTGTCTGTTGATTCTTTCTCGCTCGTGGCTCCTAATGGTACATGCATGCACAAACTCAGACATGATATTTCAAAATGATGTTTGTTGTGTTAATTTATATACATTTGCTAGCTTCCTTAATTGTTCAAACACATGTATCTCAACTAGAGTCATAGTGCAAAGTAGTGTGCACCTAATGCTCTTTTATGGTTTGAATGGTATAAGGAATGCCTACATGTTTCTGTAAGGAAACCACATTGTCCATACCCAACAAACTTGAATAGGATATGGATCCACAAGAATCATATATATGTATAGAGGAATAGGATACATGAGAAATGGATAGAATTGAAAAGGTCAAGTTATGCGATACAAAGACTACTTAAACAACAAAATTTCTCATGTCAGAGCCCATCATGTGAACATGTCTAAAAAAACTAAAGTTGGATCTCTGGGTCCTCAAAATTAGACTCATATCTACTATAATTTTCTAAACAATTTCAACGTCTTCCGATATCAGTGTATGAATCCATATGTTTTACTTATATCGTATACGAAAGTTTAAAAACATGTGCATATCATTAAACACATCCTATGGGCGTGTGTGACTCTGTGTGTGCGTATTCGTGTATGCGTCTTGTTGGATGGAGATGGATAGAGATACAAATACATATACATGAATGCCCATATCCTCTAGCATTCCTAGCTATAATACTAGATTCCTTGTGCTTTCAAAAGATGTGTTTAAAGGGTTTGGTTGTTGTAGTATCCAGATTTAGCAGGGTGATAAATGGGAAGATGCATCTGCTGCATTTAGAGAAATGAAAGCCCATATTTATAAGTCGATAGGTCACTATTTCATGTTGACATGGAAGGTTAAAATTTGAGGTTTTTATTGGATCCAGTTAAGAATATGGGCAAATATATAAGAGGAGGGAAGTTGACCAATGACACAGGAGGAATATTTTCCACACTGTCTACTTCCTGATTGACACCTCTATTAATTTCTACTATCTATACCCTTATCAAGCAATAAAAGCATCTATTGACAGCTAGAAGAATACAATGTATTATTTTACTGCTTGACTTTTACATCTTTAGGGTGTATTAATGTCTTACAGTATTAAACACATCTACGCACAAAATATTAACCTTCCTGCTCTTTAACATATGAATTTGGCAGACTGAACTGGGTATCCTTTTTTTATTTCCATCGTGTCGACATAATTATATTTTTACTACAGTTTTGAGAGGAGATGCAGGAGATCCTTCCATGCAACCATAGTAGATGGCATAGAATCTGGGTGTAACTCTCTTAGCTTATCCGAAGCTCAAATTCAAGTATTCTATGGTTAATGAAATAATACTATGTGACAGTTCCAATTGCATGATCAATATTTCCTTGCAGTCTCATCTCTGTACTGTAAACTTTGTTTTATTGTCTGTGAGAGTCTAGGCTCCTCTAATATGCTGGCTTGTGCACAAGTATAATATTACTCAAATGTCGTCAAAAGTCTCTTTGTTAATAGCTACTTTATATACTCATACTTTATTTTTTATCAGCATTTTATCAACTTATTTACTTTCTATCTTTTTCAATTATACCTTTTCATCGACATGCCTAAATTTTAAGGAGAAATTTTTACGTCTTCCCTTCCGTTGATGCAACTTGTGGTCACTTCTACCACCCAAAATGTGTAGCCGACCTACTGTTACCGTAGAATGAAATGGAAGCAACAGAGTGTGAGTTAATTATTGCTGATTGGGAATCATTTGCATGCCCTGCTCATAAATGTCATGTTTGTAACCAAGAAGAAAACAAAGAAGTTGCTGAGTTGCAGTTTGCGGTGTGCCGGCGTTGCCCTATGTCATATCACAGGCAGTGTTTGCTTGGGTAATTTCAAAGCCTTTATCAATCATTTTTCTCTCATTTGATTTAATTACATGTCATGTTTATTTTTAGAGAAAAGATAATTGGGCCTTCAGATGCTTTAGTTTGCAAGAATGAGTTCAAAGGAAACCAACTTGTGCTTAAACAACAGAACAGTTTAGGGAGATGGATTCCCAAGGAAAGTCGTTCTCTTTTCTCTACTAATGTAAGCTCCTGGCCTCTCACCCCTTACATCTTTAGTTACGACGCCGTTAAGTTAAATCTTTTTCTTTAATTCCAAGCTCAGGCTTAAACCTGTGTCCGTAGAGCTATGAGGTGGTGGGAGAAAATAAGCAAGCCAAACATGACAGAGATCAAATCTACACAACATCTTGTTGATTCATTGTAAGATGCTGGAGATAATCTTGTTATAGTTGATTTTTACTCCCCTGGATGTGGAGGTTGCAAAGCTTTGCATCCAAAGGTAAAACCCAATTGCATATACAAATGTCTCTACACATCCAATCATACAATAGAATCTCATGAAAACTTTTATGGTCATTAGCGTTTAACACCGACGTCTTTAGCAGAGATCTATATTGATGGGCGATAAGTGTGTAAGTCTGCTTCTTAGAATTAGAAGTGTGAATCATGTTTAGTTAGTTTCTCACCTGTATTCTGCTAAAAGGTGGCTTTGTTATGTTGATGCTTTCGTAAGTTATGTGTCGCAGTGTGGCTATGTGTCGGTTGGCTTGTAATTTAGGATTGGAAATTCCATCTTATTATGACTAGCTTGATTTTACTAATCATCTACTTTTCTACTTAGTCTTAAGAATAATTGTCAATATTGTGCAAGTAATTCCTAGCTCTTTTTGCTACAAATTATGTCATTCTTTGTATTTTCAAATGGAAATGTGTTAGTTTTTATTTAATGTATAATCTGATGGGATTTTCTCCAAAATTATGACTGTGCTTTTGGTGAAACTTATTTCTTTACTGTTTCCAATACAACATAGTATATATGCTCTGGACTTCTTCCACATTCTCCCTGCAATATGAAATGCTAAGTAATTACTGTCATTTAGTTCATGACTAAATAACATTGTTAAATTTTAATATCAATTTATTTTAATATCAATTAGCAATTTATTTTAAGTTTGCTCATGACATTTTTTTTGCACTCTGTTTTGCTCTGTTTGTTGCCATGGCATTTTCTCTGAGTAATGGTTTTTGTGTCTCTTGCCCCCATGAATTGGCATTAGAGAAAAAGGTAATTGGGCCATAAGATGCTTTAGTTTGCAAGAATGAGTTCAAAGGAAACCAACTTGTGCTTAGGGGGTGTTTGGTTGCACAATTTTATAGAAAAGTTTTCTCAAAATGTCTGACAATAGCAATTTTGTAATTAAAAATTTTCTGTAGATTTCCGTAAATTGTGTTTGGTTCAAAAAAATTACAGAAATGTTTTCTGTAAAATACAAAAAAGTACTAAAATTTATAAAAATCAATTTTCTCTCAAAATGGGCAGAAATCACCCAGAAAGCTGACACCACATTAACACTTTTCTATAAAGTTGACACTTTTCTATAAATTTAGAGGGTGTTTGGTTTAATTTCTACAAATTATAGGAAATCTTGCTATTTTCTATAAAATTATGAGACATTTTCTTGTTTTGAACCAAACAAGCAAAGTAAAAAAAAGAAAATTGATACTTTTTGACTTCTCAAAACTTTTCCTATAATTTTTTAAATAAATACAAGGAAATCATATTTTGGGTAGAAAATATTTCCTATAATTTGTAGAAATTGAACCAAACACCCGCTTAGACAACAGAACAGTTTAGAGAGATGGATTCCCAAGGAAAGCCATTCTCCTTTCTCTATTAATGTAAGCCCCTAGCCTCTCACCCTTTACATCTTCAATTACGATGTCGTTAAGTTAAATCTTTTTCTTCAATACCAGGCTCAGGCTTAAACCTGTGTTCCTAGAGGTATGAGGTGGTGGGAGAAAACAAGCAAGCCAAACATGATGAGATCATATCTACACAACATCTTGTTGATTCATTGTTAGATGCTAGAGATAATCTTGTTATAGTTGATTTTTACTCCCCTGGATGGAGGTTGCAAAGCTTTGCATCCAAAGGTAAAACCCAATTGCATATACAAATGTCTCTACACATCCAATCATACAATAAAATCTCATAAAAACTTTTATGGGTTTTCTTCCACATATGTCAATTTGTAGAATTATATCCAAATGCGACATTTCTCATGGTTAACTATGAAGAACGTAGATCCATGTGTCAAAGTCTACATATTGACGTACTACCTTTCTTCAGATTCTATGGAGGGGCTCGAGGCCGTGTCTCAAGCTTCAGTTGTACTAATGCAACAGTAAGTCATGAATCAAAATCTATTCTTATTGATTCAAACATTTTAGTTGCTTGAAATTTAATTCAAACATTTTAGTTGCTTGAAATTTAATTTACATTATTTTCGATGGTGTTTGCAGATAAATAAATTTAAGAATGCTCTAGGTAAGCATGGAGCAGAGAGATGCGGTCTTGGACCATCAAAAGGATTGGAAGAATCAGAATTGATGAGTTTAACTTCAAACAAAGGAAGCAATTTCAGTTACTCATTGAGATCTTTGCTGCCTGGAGATTTTAGCTTTTATTCAGATTTTGAGGGAAGAACTGACGTGGCGATGACAAGCCTGCATTGATCTATCGGTTTCTTGTTAGGAATGTACATAATTCTATATCTGAGGCTTTGTTTTTTTTTTGTGAGAGCCCCGGTTTCAATAAATTGTGTTCAGGTTGTGTTGATTAAATGAAAGAGATTGATTTTGTTCTATTTTTATTGGGACTCTGCTGAGGTTTAGAATCATGCTACTGAATTTGTGAGTTGGGTTAGGATTTGCTTTTGGTTTGTCTTGCATATTTATGGATTTTGTGAACATGGCTAAGTGATTTACAGAATGAAATATAAACAACAAATTTGGTTCAATCAAACACTGTATCAAGTTCAATACGACAAGGACTTGATTGCCAACCGTTATTGTTACATTCATATAAATTTTATAAAGTTAACTAGACATGATTGGCTCTATTCATTACACAACTAGAAAATAGACTACCTATGTCTTAAATTAAGCATTTCAAAGAAATTAGTTCAATCATCTCTCTCTCACACAAAATCATCTGAGTTTAAACATTTTTTTTTTCAAGAATTGATAGTAAATATACTATATTTTTGCAAAAGGACAATTTCCTTTGTTCTTGGTGTTTGAAATACTATAGACAGGGATCACGTGACCCTCCAAGCTTCCAGCTCATAGCATTCATCATATGACCCTACACATATAAGTTTTGGGCCATCCTCATTTCTCAATCATTTTCCCCTTTATCCAATACATATAATTGATTAGAGGACCCAGAATGAAAAAGCTATATATGGATTATACAAAGTGAAACTTTGTATTTGGACATGGGATTTTTATTTTGGATTCATTTAAGCTCCTTATAAATAGCTTCTTCAGTTTTTTTTGGGATATTGGATTAGTTGTTGGATGGGGTCCAGCTAACCAACAATGCAAGTTACAATCTTGTTAGTGTTGCTCCAACAATACCTTTCAATCCTAGAAAATGTTTTGATGCTTATGGTTTATTCATTGATCATATCTATTGCATAGTCTACGATCACATCACTGCATCAGAATTTCGAAGTTACAACAAAGATGAGGGTTATAATTTTATAAATAACATGGCCTTTAGAGGTTTAGAGCACTTTCATGGACTAAAACTTGGACTCATGAACCTGTATTTTTTAAATCTGTTTCAAAAATTCTTCGTGGTCAATAAAATTTAAACCTATGTCGCTATGGTCTTCTTTAAATTGTCCTGGTACCTAAAAATATAATAGGAATAATTATTACTTTTTTCTTTACACCAAGAATACAAAATGGAAAAATATAATAGGAATAATTATTACTTTTTTCTTTACACCAAGAATACAAAATGGAATTTAAGTTGTCTCTCTGGTACTTTTTTCTTTATACCAGAATGTTCTTTACACCAAGAATACAAAATGGAATTTAAGTTGTCTCTCTGGTACTTTTTTCTTTATACCAGAATCATATAATAGAATTTAAGTTGTCGTTCAGTATAATTATTACTATAAGTGACCGTCTCAAAGAGGCTTACAGAACTGCTCCATCAATCATATTCATTGATGAGATAGAGGCAATTGCTTCCAAGTGAGAAAACCTGCAGAGGGAGATGGAACAACGGATAGTAACACAGCTTATGACTTGCATGGATGAATCACACCACACTCATTCATCTGATCATTACCAGACAGAAACATCTGAGAAGAAGACTGGTTAAGTTCTTGTAATCGGGTCAACAAACAGACCATATGCACTTCAACAAGCTTTGAGGAGACCTGGATGGTTTGATCGTGAGATTCCTTTGGGTGTACCTGATGAAAATGCATGGCTAAAGATCCTGTAAGCTATTACTCGAAAATGCAAATGTGTGTTTTGGGGAGAGTAGAGTCAATGAGATATAGTTTTATCTAATAATTAAGGCAGATTGAACTTTTAAGTGTTTTATACAGTTTCAAACCGAGTATTGCATGATTGCAAGGTTAGGTGATCCATGGATTTCCATCGGTCAATTGCATTGCAAATGAGCATGGTTTTGGTTGGGATGTTCACATGATTTGGGAAGAGAAAAAACTAAAAATAGGCTAACTGCGTAACTTTGTTTTGGATGAATCCTCGAGTACACATTAAGCTGAAAGTAAAATAAGTCGTATGATGTTTTTTGGAATATGATATGGTTGTGTGTTAGAATTTGATTTTTTAGAATAAAACTACTACAAGTAATTTTGCTACGATCTCTTAAAAGTTTTGATGCATTCAATTTTTAAATCTTTTTATTAATTATGTTTGATGGAAAATTGATGTAATTTTTGTATTCTTCTACTTGTGAGGGATGTCCGTTACTAAAGGGGTGGAAATGGGTTCCAATGCTGCAGAATCTTTAGTGTTATGTAGTTATTGCACGTGCATTGTAGAAGGGAATGATTGTTGCTTGTTCATTACGCTTATCGACTGGATCCTCGACAAAATTATACAATCTCCTTCCAATGAGATATCAGTCATCTTTAATGGAGTTGTGGAGATTAGTGAACCAAACACAGAACCTATTGGCACAGAAGAACACCATGCTAAAGAGAAGGCAAACAAGTCAAGCAACCCGATAGACCGCATAGTTAATGATCAATGGATAGCCAAGCAAAGGGAAAAGACCTCTAGAAAATACATAGGAAACACAAAAGCGCACTCATAAGCTTCAAGATGAAAGGAAAATCCATGGCTTTTGAAAGAAATTAGTGCAAAGACTTAGAAAGACTATAACGTCATAAACTTGGATTTACATCCACAACATCAAACATTACTTTTACGTATATTCTTGTTATAGTATTTGATTGATCAATCACCTTGTAGATACAAACACTCTACTATCGCATAAATGATCCTTAAATATAAATTTATTGTTCAAACAACTTTAATTTTTAGCTTTTGTTCATATACTTGCAATATTGTGTACATTCAATAAATTTATACCAAATCCTTCCTTAAATATACTTATAATTTAAAATAATATTAAAATTTTACCACGTGCATTGCACGTGCCAACCCCAAAATCATCTCAGCCATTGACTTAAAACAATTCCCAAAAAAAGAAAAAAACAAATTACCAAATAAACACCCTATTGATGACCGCGTTTAGCCAAAAAAAAAAAACCGATCGGAAAAAACTATTCGTCGCCGTCTTCTTCGTCTCCTCGCTCCGCTCGACGTCCACATTTAGCCCAAATAAACACCCTTCTTCTTCGTCTCCTCGCTCCGCTCGACGTCCGCAAAAAAAACCCCATCTTCTTCTTCGTCTCCTTGCTCCGCTTGAAAAAATACTATTCGCCGTCATCGAAAATTCTGTTCGTCGTCGTCTCCTTGAACTCGTCCTCGCTCGACTTCGCCGTCTCGACTTCGCTCTAGCTTCACCGTCTCCTCGAACCCGCCATCTCCTTGAACTCGCCATCCACATCCATTGCCATCACCTTATTTGAATTCAGGTGGGTTTTTTTATTTTGTATGTTAGTTTTTTTAGTCATCAGCTTTTCTTTTCGGAGTGATTTGATACCTTTTTTCAGTTTTTGGTATTGATCGTATCAATTGTAGATTAGATGCTTGGAATTCTAATAGGAACATGTTGGCATTTGGTAGTTTACAAGCAACATTGCCTTTTGATCCTGGTGCTACTAGGGGTGGTTCGAGTTCGAATTGAATACTAAGTTGATACACATTTGTATTTGTTTAAAATTATTGAATTCAAATGCAGACTCTAATATTCATATATGGAGTTTCGAATTCGAACTCGAATTATGTGTGTCTTCATCCAAGTTTAGGTTATGAATTAACTTGTTTGTTGGAGGTTTTAACTTGTAATTCTGGTTGATTTTGGAATATGAATTATGAATATTATCATTTTTTTAGTTTAAATTTTAGGATAGGTTTAAGGTTAAATTGGATATAAGCTTTAAAAATTATTTAAATTATCGTAATGAGATTGTTTAGTGAAATTGAAAGATGAACTTGAGGACGATTTTCTATAGATTTTGAACTTCTTATATGTGATAATTTGATAGCTTGTATGGACACGCCAACAATTCTCTTACATGATACAACAATGGTTGAAGATGAAAACAAATATATAGCCCTTGACCTTGAAGGCGAGGACCATGGTTTACTATCTACGATAAGTTTTTTCTCTCAGGTGATAATATCTTATTGCTTATTGTGTACTACTATCTAATGACATATACCAAAATAGTTATCTTTTATTATGAGTTTTATAATTTTTGTTTTTCTATTTTTACAGGCATCCGAGCATGAGCAGAATGTTGATGAGCCTATTGGCGTTGAAAATGGTGAATGTAATTTTGTTGTTGATCTATATATTGGAATGGAGTTTTCTACTCATGAGGAAGCTTATAATTTCTACAATGCATACGCTAGACTTAAGGAATTTGGTGTTCGCAAGGGTCACACAACTTGGTCGAGAAAGAAAGATGCAATCATATCTAGAATATATGTATGTGACAAGGAAGGATTTAAATTTTTAAAAGATAAAAGAGAAGATGGTTAGAATGTAGGTCGAAAGTTCGATACAAGATGTGGATGCAACGCAAGGATGGTTATTGGACTCGATAGAAGCACTGAAAAATGGGTGGTCCAAAATTTAAACATTAACCATAATGGTCATCCATTAACCACCCCAAATCGAGTAAAGAAGCACTACTCACATCGAACACTTCATCGAGCTCAATCGACAAGAAGGTTGATAGATACTCTTGACAATCAAGATTTACGGCCTTCCACCATTTGTAAGGTTGTAGACGTTGCTCATGGAAATGAGCAAGGCTCTCTCACTCAACAAGAATGCCAAGCAC